CCAGCCCGGGCTCCTGCTCTCGGCGAGGAGGGGTTAAAACGCCTGCAGGCTTAACTGGCCTGAATGAGATCCCCCGAACTTCTTCAGCGAGAGAATTATGTCAGTAGATGCGAGCCGAATCTGATGTCGCGGTGGAGATTAGTCATTGCTGTCGTCTTTAAAGACTAGGTCTGTCATTCGTTGTTAAAAACTTGAAACAACTTTTTAATTCCCCTATCCCCCTTTAAAGCTATCACCTTTATCAGTACGTGCCCACACTTGGAATAATCATAATAAAACGTCTGCAGACCCTGTGGCCATGAGCTTCAGAACCGCTGTAGTTACTGTCTCGTGGAAACCTGAAAATGGCCAGAAAGATGATTTTTGGCTCGTTATTGCTATCTAGTGGCACTGTTGATAACCTAGAAGTGGGTCGATTGGGTACTAATTGTGTGCAAATGGTAAGAAGGGTGCCTGGGAGGATGATGTAATGAGGAGGAAGAATTCATCATGCTTTTACTTAGTTGTCATATAGTAATAACTTTTTTATTTAGCCACATAACACTCTGTGAGCTGTGTGAAATAGGGCTAGATTCTGTAGCAAAGGAATAGCTGTGGCATAATGGGCACCCTCTTATAAGTGCTTTTTGGAGGATTGTTAGAGTTGTCAGTGTGTGCAAGTAATCAGTTAAGATATTTAAATTCATTTGTTTACAGGGAAATGTGCATTTAAACGTAAGGCTGCATGCTTCTCAGAGTTGCTGGAATTCTGAGAACAAATAATTGGCATTTATTACCAGGGGAAAAAAATGGCTTTTAACTCTTCTATTTGGTGTAGTTATTGTGTATTGTTCTCTAGTTCTTAGTGGAGAATGTACGCCAAAAATTTGCAAACTGTGAACCCTAGTGTTAGGAGTTTGGGGATGTAACTGTTTGGAAAAGCTGGGTAGAGCAGTCAAACACAGTGCGCTTTTCACGTGTCTTGGGAGTGGAGGAAGAGAGTCCTGAGAGGAGAAGATAACATTGTAAGTTGCATCAAAATAGGCAAAAAAGTTATGGCATTGTGGATAGGTATTTGGGGGGGGGTAAATTCTTGCCTTTTAACTAATTTTTTTCATGCCATTTTAAATGACTGGAAAAGAGCATATAGAATTTGTACTCACAATGTATTATTACTGAATTATGTCTTAAGTTTTGTGATATGGGGGGGTTGGCTTTTAGTTGTGCGTGGTATTATGAGCTATCTAAATTAATGATAGGTGTCATAGGAAATTGCTACTTAAGGGTACAAAAAGTAAGTATCCACACAGTTAGAAAATATATTGCTAAAAGTGAAGTAAAGCAGCAGCTCATGGATGTGCTCCTACCTGTGACCGAGATCAGACTTCACAGTACATTTACTTAGCCTGTGGGGTAGCATCTCTCAAGATGAGATGTATCAGGGAAACTAAAGCACTGGTACAACACGCAGTTAATTAGATGATTTAGGCTTAACAGTTATACCTTGCTATGTTCAAGAAAACCTGTGGTCAGATTCCTAGTCAAGTTTATTCTGCATTTTTGGATGCAGGAAAAATGCAGGTGGGGTTAAGACCTGAAAGTTTCCCCTCAAGTAATGAAAGACAGAAAAACTTTAGTGCCTTGGCACAGTGGAAGAGATAAGCAGTAAATGAAAAGGGTCAGATATATGTTGGAAAGAAAAGTTAATTTAACAAGTATTTAGTGACTGATTGGAAACTAATTTCTAACCATGTCAGGTATGCTATTATCTGACTACATTGTAACTTAAGAATCTCTGCCAAAAATCCAAATGACCCCACACACCAGTTCTTGCTTGGTTAGCATTGTTCTTTCCCTCTAAAGACAACATTGGTCTGAGAAATAATTACAAAATTTGTATTACTGCTAAAACTCTTTGTGATAGAGGAAAATATATAAGTAAACTAGTTTGAACAAGCTTCGAGTGGAGGCTGTGGAGGAAGAATATGTGGTTGAAGGCGTGGTGTCATGGGCTGGCCTGCTGAGTCCGGCCGGCCGGCGGGTGGCTGCGTGCCTGTGCGGCGGCGCCGTACCCACCCCTCAGTGTGGCAACCTGTCTGGTAGGTGCGGGACTGCATCCACAAGACGCTGACTGAATGGAGCTCGAAGGCTGCGCAAGACCTACACCAGGTAGGAGAACTGTTACATGTATTAGCATGTTACATGGGAAAACAAATATGTACTGTTGCACCTCTTAAAATATAAATTAATCTGTTAAATTTCTGTAAAACTTTCTGCAGCTCCAGTTATCTTAAAAGAGTATTTCTCAACCTTTTTAATTTTTTTTTAATATTTAGTAAATTTGAGAGATTAAGAAATACCAGAATAAAGAATTCTGTTGATGGCAGATGAGACAATTCTTAGCAAAATATAAGTCCCAGTCTGTAATAGTTGCTTGTAAGTCAATGGAGAATTATCTAAACTATGGACTTGTTATACTAGATAGCTGAAGATCAATTTGTTTGGAGGGGAATTCTGAAGCATAGCCTTGGTTGTCTCAGAAATACGCAGAGGTGGCAATTTTTCCATTAAGAGCTAAAGACTTCCAGACAGTTCTTAAAATCATGGTCATGGGCATCTGATGTCAAGATCTTGGTGCGTTTGCCTACTCCTCTTTAACTGTTGCCTCTGAAATTTAACTAAGCAGTAATAGGTTCCCACTCAATAGATTTTCTGTGAAATTTTAGCACGTCTCATAAAAAGAAAAAATAATTAAAATTTCCTTTTTCTTGGGGTTTTGTTACCAGTTCGTGTGTAATGGTGGCATCAGCCACTTGCTGCTGCAATTCCCACTGGAGTGTGGTGAGAAAGTTATTACTGAATGATTTCTGAAAGATCTAATGGTTGCTCAGGATGAGAACAGAAATAAACACTTGTCTTTGTAAGATGTAGTGATCCATTTTAAAGTGAATTACTTAGTGTAAGCTAGGTTTTACTGTTAAAACATGTTAAAAGGATTTGGAATTATACAGTTATGAATTATAGTGCTTTCCATTAATTTAGAAAAAGAAGTGAAGTTAACTTTTTTAAAAATGCTGTGTAGAATAACTTGAAGCCTGAAAGATTTTTTTGTGAGGCAGCAAAAATTACCAGAGTTCTTGTCTGGGTGCAGGGTGGTGTGTTTGTGTGTATAATACAACATCTAATGTAGATAAAGACTTAGTCACCTTGCGCCAGATGACAGGAGATGTAAGCCTGGTCTTAAATGAAGTCAGAGGGTGAAATCTCAGAAACTTGGCTGATCTCTAGTTTCAAAATTTCTGGGTTTGATCTATTTTTTACAGCATTTTCACTGTAGGCTTTTTATAGGCTTCACTGAAATGGCAAAATACATTTATGCAAAGATATACCCACCCACTGCCCAAGCCCCCTGTATTATGGTAATGTTTTACTTCAGCTGGTCATGAGGTATTTTACTAAAGCAAGGCAGTTTGAATTAGCACAGAGGTTTGCTCACATCAGAAAGTCAGAACACTACTAAATCTTATTACAGTACTTAACAGCAATTTGTATTTTGTATATTAGGTGCATATAGGGTCTCTCATATGGCTTCATTTTCCTGACCTCCCCTCAGATCAAGCAGCACTGGGTTACTTCCTTTCTGTCATTGCATTTTTATACTTTTTTTCTAACTACTGTAACGTGCTTTTTTTTAAATTTAAACCATTCTTCAGGAACTTACTGCCTCCTCTTGACAAGTTGTTCCTAAGTCTCATGTATTTACTACAGGAAATACTGGATGTTTTGGAATGTACTGTAGCTCAAGCTATAGAAAAAATAAATCCTGAAGAAAGGGATGAGTTGAAAGTATCAGGTAAGAACATAGTAAAAACTCCAGTGACATAAAAAGGTTTCATAGGCAGTCATCACTAGCATGCTTCTATATGTGTATTTTTTTCCACTGCAAATGACATGGGTGCACACTGTCATACTTTGGTTAATCTAGAAGTTGGCTAAGAAAGACTTGAATTCATATTTTGTGTTTTAAAGCACATCAGCATTTTTCCAGTTTAACTTAGACCCCCTAAAGGCATTTAAAATGTGTTTTGTGAATCTCTGACTTTTCTGAAGCAAAATAATAACAGATAGTGCTGTAATTAAGAAATAGAATTGGAAGCATATTTATTTGCATATTTTTTTAGGTTGAATATGATGAACTTGAAGGAGGCAGTCCAAACTAACACTAGTACATTTTGAGTCTCAGTAAATTGTGAAGAGGTCTGTTTATACTATTACGTTTGGGGTTTTAGTACAGGTTATGGTTATTGCTTAGTGTCTGGATGCCTAAGTCCTAGCTTGACAGCTTATTAGATCATCTAACTGGATGGCTTCTTGTTCTGAGACTGCACAACAACTTTTAAATTCAAGAGAACAGTGTCTTTATTGGGCAGTCACCTTTCAGAAAGTTTTTTTTTTTCCAGTTTTTGAAGTCATTGATGTATATTCTAAGAACGCTTTACCCAGGAACTCATAAGTAAAAGTAAATGGCTATATATTTACTAATAGCTGGCTTGTTTAGTTATTGATTCCAGTTTCTTTGAAAATAGCAAAACTTTTCCTCATTGGATCACACTCTTCATCGATCAGAGATGCAGTTGACCTGGGTAAGTGTGAAACTCTTGTGGTAGGATTTCTTTTTTTACTTTAGTATTTAGAAATAAAATCAAAACCTTTTCTACCTAAGAGGTGTATTTAGTGACTGTCACAAGTATATCCTCTTTTCCTATTGAGAGAGACTTAAGTAATCAAGTCTATTTACATGTTAGTTCAGTCAGTAAACTTAAATGTGGATGGTAGTAACCCTGGGTCTACAAGCTCACATCTGATTCCTTTCTCCAAGCAAGGGCAAGTTTTCATTCTTTCATACAAAGCTTCTTAAAAAGCAACTAGCATATGGTGTGTTGTTAACAGTGATACAGTAGTTCTTACCAGTTGTTAGTTGCCAGTTGTTTTTAACATGATGAACTTCACTACTAACTGCAGTGTTTCAGAGATTACATGAGAGATAAAATAATGCTGCAAAAACAGCTGATGAAATACTTAAGTTTAATTGAAAATAAAATACAGTGGGTGTACAGGTACATAAAGTTTTGTTAGCCAAACGTAGCAGTAATTGTGAGCAGCACTGAACTTCACCACTTTGGGATACTGTTGGGCATGAGGTGTTACCAAAGAACAAAGGGGCAGATAGCATCCTTTCCCATCGATACTCCAGTTAATAGCCCCTTTATTCTAAGTTGTAGTACCATTGTTAGAAATACACTACTGGAATCTTCCTCTAGAAGAAGAGCTAGTTAGTTTTATTCTTTTTTTTTGCTGTCGGGCAATACTCCAAGACATGCTGATTGTCTCTGGTGATTTAAATCTCCATATTTAGTGTGCTTTTAGTCTAACTCCTTATATATATAAAACAGTTCCCTGAGTCCATGCACTGTACTTGAGTTATACTTCAGAGTGAAAGTCAACAAATTTTGGAAGAAATGGAACAGTGAAGGAATCAAGAATTGTATGTCACCATTGTCTTCACAGAAAAATACAGTTCTAATATTGAAAAGGAGAAAAAAGCTTTGTGCTTTGCTTAGTGGGGGTGGTTTTATTTTTTTATTGTTGTTAGGTTTTTTTCCCCCCTTAAAAACCTATAATTGAAACTTGGCTTTCAGCTGTATGTTTGATTCTTTGCCAAAAACATTTTGTTACTGTCATTGAGTACTGATACAGTCAGAGTTTCAGCTGGTGAATGAGAAGCAAGCAGAGTGAAGCAGGAGATGTGTGTTTTGCTGAATTTTAAGTCATGCTGCATATGTTCATATTTCACAAAAGATTTCTGCAGTGTCTCTGTTCTTTCTCCTCAGCTTGTTCTGCCCTTGGAGTTGCTCAGTTAGACTCAGTCATTGTTGCCCCACCTCCTGTTGAAGATGGAACAAGCCTATCCTTGGAGTATTTGCAACCTTATTGGCAAGAACTTGAAAACCTAGTTCAAAACAAAAAGATTGTTGCTATAGGTACCTCTGACCTAGATAAAACACTGTTAGAGCAGCTCTATCTGTGGGCACAGGTGAGAACGAACTTCCTACTTGGAGCACTTCTAAGAGAGAGTAACTGTTGTTGTTTGCTGCTGCAGTGGTACGAACTTCTCTTATAAATGAGTTTATATACCCGATATTAATTAGCCCTGTTTTTTTCAGCATCTTATGAACAACAACACAATGTTGTTCAAGGTGTAGGAGACTCAAAGTGTGGCTGTCGCTTTTTCAGTGTTTCTACACACAGACCAGCGAAGGCTGTAAACCACAGAACTGTTCAGTAGCAGGTTCTTTGAAGTACTGGAGGTTTGAGGTTTTTTCTTTATATTTAGGTGCTGCTGAGTCCTGATTTGTTCTCCTGGCTGTTTTGTGTACACTGAGAGGAGGGTAGTTGAGGGGATTGATGACCATCTGCATGGTGATGATGAATGCAATTTGTGATGAGCAGAGAAAGAGGCAGTGGAAGAGTGTTCCTTCTAAGCTAATCTGCTTCAGGCACTTAGCTGAGGGCATGGAACACTGTCAAATAAATTTTTAAGCGGATATATATTTTTTTATAAATTTGAAGCCTTTTTCAAACTAATGCCTCTGTAAGGTTTTTATCAGAGAGGAAGGGGGGGAAGCCTGCTGCTGATTAGGAAGCCAGAATGGGTTAGTGCTCATCTTGCTGTTGCAGCACCTGAAGTTAAATCCTGTTCTTGTTTTGGACTCTGTGCTGCAGGGAACTGCAGATGTAGGAGTTGCCTGTTCAGCATCATGCAGAATTATTTAGCCTTGTTCACACCTCAAAACAATGATCAAATGCAAATTGTTGAAAGCAAAATCTGTGTAGCAATACAGGGCATGGGGGAAACAACTAAAATAAGTACCTTAAAACATTTTTTCTTAAAAAAGGTTTCTATTGCTTTCAGGTGAAACCAAGTAGCAATCAGGTGAACCTAGCTTCCTGTTGTGTGATGCCACCTGATCTCACAGCCTTTGCAAAAGAATTTGACATACAGCTCCTAACTCACAATGACCCAAAAGGTAAGGCTTTACCAGATAAATTAACAGAAAATTTAAATGCATTTATTCAGTACAAAGTTGAGAATAATCCTTCTCTGAACTCTGAAGTTCCTTGCATTTGAATTCTGAACAAAGGATTCTGATAGTTTCACCGCTACAAAATATTTGTATTAAGTTCTTCCTTTTGCTTCAAGCAAGCGGGGGTAGGGGGGAGGCAGCCTTACATAATTTCTTGAAATTGTTTTAATTGGAAAAAATGAAGTAATAAAAATAAACTACTGAGAAATTTGTACTATATAGGTTCAAAAAACACTTCCACAAAAGACAGAATAAAATGACAGTGGTGTTGCTTGAAGGCCACTAAATGACAAATGAAAGTCCATTTGCCTGGAACTTGTCTGTGAAATGGTGATGGTCAGTTGATTTTTGAGCAGTTTGGTAATGTTAGACATGTAAAATTATTACACTTGATGTGGAATTCTTTCAGTGTAGTGATTTCTTAACATTCTTCCAAAAAGAGTGTAAATTCTGTGTTTTCTGCAGTGATTAATTTTATAAATTATTGAAAGACTTGGAGGCTTTCCTTTACAGTTTAGAACTCTGAAGTTCCCAGCTCCCTAGAATATTCTGAAATATTAGTTTCTCTCAAACATCTAATTTTCTTCAGTTTAATGACACCTGAAATATTTTGCTGGAATTGTGAGAAGTCTTAAACAATATTTAGTTAATTCCTTCGCTGCGTTCTTTTTCATGATCAGCTATTCCTGATGATCATACTTTTCCTTTTTTCTTATTTCTTCCTATCCTTTCCCCCCAAAAGAAAGCATAATAAATGCTGTTCATGAAGTACATACTTTATAGCACCACTGTTAAAAGTAATGATAGTGCTTCAGCGTATATCAGCACTGCTCTGGCAGCATACAAGATGAACTGCCATTCTATCTGAGAGTTTCCATGTCCCATGAAGTCTGAAGTGCAGCTTGCAATTTAATAAATTGTTCTCTATTGATTAAATGAAAGAGAAGAGGATTTGGATGGAAAACAAAGCAAGCAACAATTGCCTCATGCATTGTTTGCAAAGCTTAAATTTTCTGTAGTGATCAGCTGAAGAATATTGAGACTATCTTTTGGGAACACTTCTCATCAAAGAGATTGCTCCCTTGAGTGTCATTCTAGAGAAAACTAGGAGGATTTGTACTTGCCTTTCTTTTTTCCTTTGTGGCATTTAAACTCATTTTGTTTATTCCTTTTTGGGCTCTTGGTTGTTATGGGCCCAGCTATGGGAGATGCTGTAAATGTTGAGCTTCCAGTGATTGCAGAGGTAATGGAGAATGCTCAGTGCTTTCCTGACTTCAGCCTTGTGTTACTCAGCTGATTTGTCTAGCTAGCTTCTCAGATTTAGTTATCCTTTTTCTTTTTTCTGCTAATGGCTCTGCTGGTCAACTCCATTTGATGTTGTAGAAATCTCAATTAGTTTTATGGGAAATGCTTAATGTTGCAAAAGAAGTGTTGTGAAGATTTCATCGGCAATATTCGGCTGCTTTTACCCTCTGTGTGTTCCAGAAGAGTGGATCTGTGGAGTATCTGGCACTGCTTAAGATTTTTGACTGTAGGAAAAGGTTTCTCTTACTATCTGTTGCTTTTTGCAGCTGTTAACATAACATTATTTAAAGCATGAATATCCCTTTTTAACTTCAGAATTACTTTGTGAAGGAAGCTTCCAAGAAGTTCTTCAGGACAGCATCCAGCACACGAAAGCACACGAGTGGATTCCTTTATGGCTTCTCCGATACTCAGTCATTGTTAAAAGCAGAGGAATTATCAAGTCCAAAGGCTATATCATGCAAGCGAAAAAAAATGCCTCTTAAACCACTCTTCTTTTTTAAAGTGGCTTACTGTTTTAATTTCTTGGGGGTGGGGGAACATTGCTTTTTCCACAGAAACACTTTTACAACATTTGTAGCAAAGACCAAAAGTTGTAATTATTCAGTGTAAAGTCAGCAGGAGTGTCTGCAGTGTTTTAACACTATTTTTTTCTTAACCTATTGACCAGTTGATTGAAAATACTAAATACTTTGGGTTTGGTTTTAATTAAAATCATAGAGCAGTTTAAAATATTTTTCTTCATATGACCAGTTCACTGTTAAAATTATATTTTAGCTGCCATTAGGTAGTGTAGAGAAACATATATTTTTATTTTTAAAAAAAAATGAATTTCTCTTAAATAACAGTTACTTCTTTGGTAGGTATGTAGATTTCAACCATTTGAGGACTAGTTTTTATAGAAAATCATCTTTTATGAGAAAGTAACCAAAAAAACTTAAACTGGTATCTTACAACTTGGTATGTATATATGGGCAAGTCAGACATTTTGTGGTCCAGGTGGGAAAACTGGTTTATTTTTAATATAGTGTAAAAGACCTCTATGGTTTGGGGAAAAAAAAAGGCATTTTCCAAATGACATTGACTGCAACTTGAATTCCTTCTGGCTTCTTTGTGCCTCAATATGCTTTGTTTAGTGTTTGCACAAGTGTGATGGCATCTTTACTGTTTGAAGTAGAAAATGCATTATTGTGTGAATGTTTAAGACCTGGAAAAAAAGTGATGAAAAATCTGTTAATTGAAAATTGAATTGTGCCTGTGTTTTTCTCAAGTGTGTCTTGTTTTTTTGATGCTTGTGACCTACGTAATCACAATCGGCCAAGTCAGAACAGGTAGTAAATACTGAAACTGTTCTTCCTAGGATTGTGTAAAATGAAACACTGCTTCTGGAGGTGCCTGAGAAACTTTGTTCCTTGAGTGCCATTCAGAAATTCTGCAAGCAAGAGTTAGCTTGCAGTTAGGTCTGTTTCTGTTTGGCTGTAGCTTAGTGCACTGGCTTTTGAATCCTGGAGATCGCTGCAGTGAAGGCAGGGCTTCTTGCTTAGTGCAGCCTTTCTGTTGAAAAGGCTTTCTTGTTTCCTTGGCCTTTAAATCAGAAGAGGTAGCAAAAGCTTACCTTGTAGCTGAGCAGGAGCTTGATATTAGGTGTCTACAATTAATCTTTTTTTTCCTTCCGATTTCAGGAAGGAGCAGGACTTCATATTAGCAGTACTCATTAACTTGTACATATTTTGAGGTTTGGACTGAAAGAATGAATTTTCACCAGTGTCTTTCAAATTCTGTCCTGTAGGCAGCTAGTGGAATTTGAATGCCTGCAGGTAGTGTCTAGAATGTCAGCTTTTTATAATCCATTCCACTAAGTTAATGAATCTTTTTCAATGTATCATTTGAGTCCTCAAATATTTTATCTGTAGGTGATAAATACTGGAAAATTCTCCTGGGCTTCTTCAGTTCTTTTGACAACTGAGAGACGGGGAACTGTGACTGGTAATGCATCAATAAAAGTTTGAAATTTTTTTTTCTCCTCATCAACCTGTAGTCTTGTTAATGTTGGGTCAGTGTGGACCAGTGCTTCAAAATTACCTGTTTCATTTTAAGCTTCCCTGACAGCTTTTGGGTTGTGCTGATGATGATTAACCACTATGTGTAAATTCTGTTCGACTGTTGACTTTCTGTATTATGTTGGATTATATTTGTGCTTGGTTTTATAAATTGAAATGCTACAAAAGAGGAATTGTATTAAAACGATGTATAGACTGCTCTAGTGGGATAATTACTTTCTTCCTGTAAACCGCCGACAGTTTGCTTGCTGTAGAAAAGTATCCATCAAGGCATGATAATGTTTCTAGAGTCACAGCTCATGGATTTGTTTTGCGTCAAAGTGGTTTCTGCGAGAAACTTGAACATTTGAATTAAAATTTGAAGCTCTTGTAGGTTTTAATCTGTGCTTGGATGAATTGTCCCCTCAATAACGCTATTTTACACTCGGTCATACAGCGGTCTGGGATGGCGTCATGGGAGGGCGCGC